CGAATTGTGTAATAAGGGTGCTTCATTACTCCTTTGATTTGTTCATGAAAAGGAAGGGTGAGTTGTGCAAACAAACCCTTGAAAACACCCTGTGCATGCTCTGTTTGTCCTTTCTTGTAGCAAGGTAAACTGCGCAGCAGTGGCTGGCAAGCCACCTTTGATAGTCGAATTGACCAAAACAATGGTCGGCCGACCATCAATGCGTTTCACATCAAATGTTTGCACAACCAACCTCCCTATCATGTCATGGACTCAAGGGAGTTTGGTCCTCGACCCTCGGACCACCAATCATCCATTTCAATGCATGATGGTCCAAGAGGCCAAAGTGTGCAATTTCAATGTCAAATGGAATGCACACAAAAACACATAAAGGACCCAACCTCTATCAAGCTTGATCAAGAGGCAAGGCATGCATGATATGCACAATGTTATGCATCCTAAGCATGCAAGCTAAGTATGCAACATGAACATGCAAACAAGCAATGTGTACTAGGCACATAACCTAAGCAAACAAGCATGCGAGGCATGTAACAACAATGCTAAAAACATGCAACAACATGTGAAGGGAATTTAGCATGGAAACATGTAAAACAACTTAACAAAGAAAATGCATGCCAAATGCAAAGTGATTCAAGCATGCAACAACATGCGATAGGCCAAGCATGCAACAACACGCGAGGCGAGCATGCAACAACATGCAAAGGATGGACTTACACCAAGATGGATAGCTCTCTACTAGGTCCAAAATAGTGGCCAATATGCTAAGGAAATGAAGGCAAATGCACATACAAACATGCATACAAACATGGTCCAATACCTAAGCATAAAGAGGCAACTTTTAAGCACACTTAAAAGGAACAAACATGGACAAATGGCATACATTGTAAGGTCTGAAATCATGTTAGAAAGGTGCCAAACCAACTAAACAAATCAAGCAAAGCATGCAACAAGGTCCAAGGCTCAAGGCTAGCTAAGGGGCTCAAGCCATGACCATGCCAACCAAGCCTCAAAGGGCCAAAGGGACTCAAAACAGTCCCAAGGCAGACCAAAACAAGGCCAAAGACACACTTAGATGGCATCCCAAATGCCTACACATGATGGCATACACAATGGCAGAAACACGGAGCATGAAACACAAACTCTCTAAGACATTAAAGAAGCATCAATTGTGAGTAAACAAGCATGCCATGTGGACTAAAATGACATGGTAAGTGACCCCAAGTCACTGAAATAATGCAAGTAAAGCATGCTAGAGGATCCAATACTCAAAGCCTACAAGCTAGGCTGCATGGTAACTATACAAAGCATGTCATGGATGACCCAAACAACCAAAATCAGACCTTAAGCATATCAAAACATGCATAAAAGCTTCACAAAGCTAAGCCAAAATCATGCTAGAAAGTCATGGTACATCATGATGCATGTTAAGGCAATTTCATGGCATTACAAGACAAGTATGCAAAGCATGCATGGTGTGTCTAAACCAACTTAAAACAGTGTTATATCATGACAAAATAAGTACAAATACCAGCTGAAATGAAGCTAAAGCAAGCTAGGAATACAAGCTACAACACAAGCCATTTGTGCAAGCATCAAAGGCAACATGGAGAGGGGATGACCCTCTCCCATTTAGGACCTCAAAACTACCTCTCCACCACTGAAAATCCTCTGGATTTTAGTGGTAGAGAGGTCATGCAAAGCTCAAAGCGAGGGCCAAAAGATATGGCCTTAAACAAGGCCTAACAAGGCCTTGGAGGGGGGAAACAACCCCAAACCTCAAAGCAACCTTAAACAAAGTTCTAAAACACGCAAAATCAGAACTTTTATTAGTTATTCACTAAGCTCAAAAACAGATGCAAGATAGGTCAAAAGCTTGTGCAAAAATGGGGAATAAAGGGGTAAGGTTCTTACTCTTGAAGACCTTCTTCAAGAAGACCACTCCAGCAGCCTCCTTAGGTCAAAACCAACTCAAAAACTTCAAGAACAACCCTTTGGCACCTCAGCAACCAAGGTATGGTGTAACACTAGGTGCCTTAGTGTAAAATTAAGAACAAAAACACCTTTAAGACACTAAATAGGATCAAATAAGGGAATATAGATACAAGGTTGTATCTCAAACTCTAACCCTAATTTTCAGAACCCTTGGAACTTTTTTTGGAACCCTTGAGAAGGGAGGAGAAGCCCTCCCTTTATAGGAATTCCAATCTTGTAAAGCTTACAAAATAAGCTAAGCAAAGAGGGAAATCCCTCCATACACGTATGGAGGGGAGCATTGTGGATGCCAGCTATCACAGCTGGCATAAAATATCTGCCAAAAGCAGATGAACAGTGGTCGGCTAGCCAAAAATGACAAATTGACCAAAACAATGGTCGACCGACCATAAAGAGTGTCGACCGGCCATCACCAATGGCCAGTAACAATAAAACAGGCCCGGTGGCCTCAAGCCATGGCCGGTGAGGTGTGGGTATGACCAACAAGCCATTCCCTACCCTCAGAAGCAAAACAACAAGTGTTTGGTGCAAAACCAAACACAAAACAAGTAAGTCGAGAGATCCTAAGGCAAGACACGTAGCCGAGACCTCCGAGAACTCAAAACGAACACGAACATGGATGATTACTGACTGTTCAAACGGTGACATCCAAGTCTTGAGGACGGTCCAAAATGGAGTGTCTACAACTATATAAAACGTGAATGTTTCATCACTAGTATTGTACATGCACATTGCATTTATATCCTTGTTAAACCTCATATACTCTGTTAGATTGTTCCTACTAGGTTGTGACTCACCCTGTTTGAAAAAAACTATTTTCAGGTAATGATAGCATGCCTCCACCAAGGCAATAATATTAGAGGGACTTCTTTTGGGAAGCAAGGGCTTCTATGTTTTGTTTCATTACTTGTATAGCCTAGGGCTTAAATTGTAAGAGTTAGTCTCATTTTTGTTGTAACCAAGCCAAGACTTGGAAATGTGTAAGCCAATAGGGCGTTTAATTACGTTAAACTTCCTTTGTATCATCAACTCTATGTAATTAAAAAACTATTTACTCTGATTTATGCAATTATTAATATATGTTTAGAGTTGTATTTCCATATTATTTTTGGGGGTATGACAGGCAACCGACGACCAGGAAGACACGCGGACTTCGACACCTACAAGAGAGAAATGGACAGTGAAGGGCTGCGATGATGGTGGTGAGGGGTTGTGCATGTGGTGGTAAGAGGCTCACCGGAAAGGAAAATAAAAAAGGTGGGTTGGTCGCTGGAGGGCGTCGGCGGGAGTGGAAGTGGTACTGAGATTCGAGTTAGGGGCTAGGGTTAGACTTAGGAGAATAGGGATAGGGATAAAATTGAAATTTGATGTTAGGACAAAATTGTAATAAAAAAAAAATGAAAGATCCAAAGTAAAAAAGTAAGAGCATTTAGCAACCCTCATTAAAAATTAACTCTACAAAGACATCGCAATTAAATTTCATTATAATCTTACATTCCCCATGCAAGTTGAGGAAGTTACAATTCATTTATTGTTTTCTTAACATGTACTGCACATGTTAACAAGACCCATTGTTTATTAATATAAATGTTTTTCATGTTCTCAAAATAAAAAACATAATTTTAAGTGTCTTTTTTTTTTTTTGAATAAAAAAATTTGTTTCGTATATATATTTAAAAAATTTGTCAAATAGTAATAATTTTTTTTTTTGGGTCTAATAATTTCTAATGATCAAATATACCTTCTCAGCGAGCAAGAAGAGATGATGATGGTGATGATTTTTATTGTATTGCATTTTTATTTATTATTGTGCAAGGAATGTGAGAAAGCTAGCATAGGAGTGAAAGTATTGCAATTTCAACTTGGGTGCTTGTGATTCAGTTTTGGATAGTTCAGTTTGCGGTTTGGATCTGTCTACATATGTATGGTTTGGAGAAAATTGAACCCGTAATTGCCCGCAGTGCAGATTGCAATTTGTGCGGTTAAGGTTCGCAGATGTGCGGACGATTGCGAATGGTTTGCGAATTGGAATTTTTTTATAAAAAAAATTATTTTTGAGCTTTTTTTTTCTTTCTATTTTGTAAATATTTATTTTGAGCCATTTTCTCCACATTTTTTAAAATGCTCAACATTAATAATTAATGAATTAAAACTTATAAAATTAAAAACACAAAAAAATCAATTTCTAATACAAGCAAACAATTCAAAAGCTTAATTTTTTAAATAAAATTATAAATTAACACAAGCACATCTTTTAAAATTTTAAACTAAATCATCAAAATCATTCACTATCGAACAATATAATTAAAACAAAAACATTCAAAATTCAAAAATATCTAGGATAGGATGAATGAAATCAATGGTCTAAGTTTTTTTTTAAAAAAAAAAAAAATGTCTAAGTGTGGGTGAGTTTTTGCAAGTGCAAGTAAAACTCGTAATCCGTAATAATGTTATATTCCGAACCGCATCGTGTCTGCGAAACCGTTAATTTGTATGCAAATCAATTCGGGTTGAGCGATTTAGATAACCTTAAATCCAATCCTAATTTTAACAATTTATGTTTAAATAATTATTTTTTATTTTTAAATTTATGCCCGAATAACATGGTATAGTGTGCATATAGAATAAGCCAGCTTAAAACAAAGTTCTGTGAAATACCACTATTGCCTTCCAAATTTATTTTAATATTTTTATTAAAAATAAAAATATATAATAAATCCGTTACAGGGGGGATTGAACCCGACGTGAATCGAACACGCAACCTTCTGATCTGGAGTCAGACGCGCTACCATTGCGCCACGGATCCTAGATGTTAATTGTTTCGACAAATTTATTAATTATATCCTAAAATAAAAATACATTTTGATTTTAGGGCCAAAACTTACTTTTCTATTGCAAATAATTAAAATAAATGGGAAATAAAAAAAATTGTAAATGGGTGTAATTAAAAAAATGAAAGGCAACAAAATTTCCCTGAAATAAATTTATATACTTAAAAATTTGAATATATTTTTTTAGTTAACTTCTGGAGGAGAGAATTAAAATGCTCTCCTTTTTGGGGATAAACAAGGTTGATCCATATATCTTGGTATATGCACAATAGTAGATAGATAGATAGATTTTAGTAATCCCTTGTTTTAACCTGTGATTAAAAATGTCGACCCATTCTTCCAATGAGCCAAGCACCATCACTGAAACAGCCACAGTTTATCATCCATCACACGGACGTGGAGAGAGCACAGATGGCCAATCCCACACTAACCACCACAACCACCACCACTCCAACAAGTCTTATCCTCCACCTGAGGCCCTGTATGATCAAATTGTTCAAAACCCAGATGTTTTCTTGGCTAAGCTCAAGGGTTTTCATGACTCCTTCGGTACCAGATTTAAGTAAGTTTTGTTTTTATTTTTTGTGGGTTGTTCAAGTTTAAGTAATTTGTTTGTGGGTTTTCTAATTTGCTCTCATATCTGGTTTTTTTTTTTGTTTTGTTTTGGGTATATATTTCTTGGATGTGATTTCATGTAGATGTTTGTTTTATACAATGTTTCTATATCATCACACCATCTTCAATAAATTAGTAATCAGTGTGTGCAATGCATTTTGTGCATTTATGCGTGTGTTTTTTTGGGATAGGTTTGTCATTTTGTTACAACATAATACCCTGATGGAAAGTGCTATATATAAATGGATTTGTTTCCTGATTTTATTACCACGAGAGAAATCTTAAGAAAATCTTGTGAGAAACTAGTGTATGTGTACCATTCTAATAATTTCTAATGATCAAATATACCTTTCTCAGCGAAACAATGGAATGGCTGATGGTTTGATGAAGTTAAATACTTTTAACTGAGGAATTAATCATGACATCCCAACAAGACGTTAGGTTAAAAAAATGACAGTGGTGCTACATACACCCATTACTATACCAGTTAGTGTACCAAGACATGCTATAATATTACAACTTCAAAACTATAGACCCCACTCATTATATAAATACAAAGCCTCGAAGGCAATAAAACTATGTCAGATCATCTGTTAGTACATTAATTGGTGTACCTATTGGTGCATATAACTTTATTCAAAAAATAAATTCTAATTGTAATGTTATTAGCATATTTAGGATGATTTTGATTTCTATCTCTTTGGACCATAAATTATGACATTATTCCTCCTGCAAAAAGTAGATTCTCAAAATTTGAGTGGGGAAATATATTCTTTTACTAATAGCTTTCACAATGGAAGTTTTGGAAATAAGGAATCGTTTGGTTGTGTTCAAAATTGAAGTTGTGGAAATATGGAATCTTTTTGGTTTTGGAAATATGGAATCCTTTTGGTTGCATAACCTTATAATTCATATTGTGCTGCGTATAATTTAATTTAACTTAGCTTAAAATTCATAGAATGAGTGATTTTGATATTTAGGAATTTGAATGAATATTTTGGTTTATTTTCTTCATGGGTTATTTCTGGCAGGGTTCCTACTATGGGAGGAAAGGCTCTAGATCTACACCGCTTGTTTCTAGAAGTCACATCTCGAGGTGGCATTGAAAAGGTAAGAAATCACTTTGATTTCAGCCTGTGTTTTGGGGACTCTTTAAGATGTATAGGTATAGCTTATGTGGTTGCGTCCAATGCAGTAAGAAAAGAAGAAACATATCTTCATCCCCTAAAAAATTAACATACGATTCAATTGCAATTTGTTCCTTTTTTGCACTAATATTTCAAAGAAGGGATTTTACTTATATTGGGGATGCTTTATCACAAAACTATGATTTTACTCTTCAATATTTGGGAGGAAAATTGAAACTTAAGCATTTAGACGCAGACATGTGTTCTAAAATTTTTGAGTTAGCTAAACTTATTGATGACTGATGACACACATTCCTACCCTAGGTATGGTACCTGCTGAGGCATTGTAACATAGAGTTTGCTTTTGGGTTGCTATGTACTGTGGATTTTCAGTTCACTTATATTGAGAGCAGAAAAGGAATATTCAATCCGAGTAACGTAAGCACAGACATGACACACTAGCTTTGTTATAAAACTTGCCTTTAGATATTACTGGGCCTATTAATAAGTCAACCACAGTGGTGAAGTTTTCATGGGATTTTCTATACCATGCCAAATCCATTTATCAGCATCAAGCTGTTAAGTGTCTTGAACTTTCTAGTTTGGTTTTGTGGACAGTCTAGTGCTTGAGAATAGTTACCGTGTGAGCTGCCTTTAAGCCATGTATCTATGCTGAAAGCATGTGAACCAAAGACCAAACCAAATATCTCTATTTTCCGTATGTTTGTTTGTTTTACTGTTTTTTTTAAATTATTAATTGGTGTCTACGTTTGCATTGGGAAACAATCTTCTTACCATGAACTGATTTCAGGTTATCAAAGATCGCAGATGGAAGGAAGTGATTTCGGTCTTCAATTTCCCATCAACAATAACTAGTGCATCATTTGTTTTACGAAAGTACTATCTATCGCTGCTTTATCACTTTGAGCAGGTTTATTACTTCCGGAAAGAAGTCCCTTCCATTTCACTGGATGGTATGCCAAAATAGGAGCCTCACAAGGAACACAATTTTGTTTCTTTTGTATCGAAACGGTCAGAACGAAACATTAGTGTAATACCAAAACGCTACACTGAACCACATAGAAACACACCATAATACTGCCAAACATACTGAAAGTACGAGTTGTTTCTACATCTATTAGGAATATCCAACAATAGTCATTTCCATTATCCTTTTTTGCCAAAAGATAACATTTGAGAACAAAAAAAACCTTATATTTATTAGAAAATCTAAGAAGCTAGAAAGCAGAATAGGAGAGAGATAGAGAAGAAGACAAAACAAGCACGATTATTAAGTCACTTATCCTATATCTTTATTACCACAAAGTAAATTTAAAAAAAAAAAAAGTTTGTTACCTCTTTTTATTTTCATCCATAATACTACTAGAATTTTGTATTTTTTAATTTTTTTTTCCCCATAAATTCTCCTTCCTCAGCTAGGCCTTTAAACTTTTTATGTTACAAGTGTCTAATATTCATAGGTCTCCTTATGAATTTTTAGAGTAAGAACCGGAATTACATTAGCATGTTCAATTATTTAATTATTAAGAATGTATTAACATTTATATGGATTTTAGTTTTTATTTCCATACACTTCCATCTTTTGTCATTTCCCTAATGTTTCTGAAATGTTTTTGAAATGTTTCCATTTCCAAGCTAACTGAAATGATATTTTGATCCTTGGAGCCTCATGATATGTTTATGTTGTTTTAAGTTTTCTTCTAGACTAAAATAGACATGTTTCTATTATTCCATTCTACAGATCCTGCAAGCAGGACCCCTGTGAATGGATCAGCAGCCCCATATGTTCTTGAGGACGGTGCTACAAAAAATCAACGGCCAGGTCAGGGTATGTGTTACTACCATTCCGATATTCTGACTCTCCATATAGATTTAATATTTCACCTATTTGATATCTGCATTTATCATTCTGCTTGTATTTAATGTAATATTTGTAGTTATTGGGTCTAACAATAGAGGATGAGATAGTTTTGTTGTTTTCAAAAGAATCTCCTTATCACATTTATGTTTGAAATGGCCATCTGAGTACTCAAATCTCTCTATGAGCACTGTAAACCTTGTCCACTGGACTCCCAAATTAGAATTTGGAATTTGAATATAGAAGGGGCCTGCCTGAGATGCCTACATGCTGAATTATTTGGACTCCTGCGACTTTGTGAATTTGTGAATGTATGAACTCCCTGATATTGGACAATCTAGAATTACCAGAAATTTCAAATTTCTTAAAGTTGCCTAACTATTTTCCTCTTTTTTTCCCAGTACAAGTAAATAGATTATTTTATTTTGTGATTTGATTGTCTAATGTTCTATTTTCCTTCATTCCAAATCAACAATAATGAGAAATTTGGCTTTGTATACCACCTAATATTCTGTATCAAAATTTCCCTTTCTCCTACTTGTGCATGTGACAGCCGGTATACCTGTAGTTTGATAAGCTTACATGTTTAAATTGTAACGAGTATTTCTTGTCTGTGATGTACAGTGAATTTAATCTTGGAGCCTGGCAATACAGTCAGTGGAACCATTGATGCAAAATTTGACAATGGCTACCTGATTACTGTCAAATTGGGTTCTGAAAAGCTGAAAGGTGTCCTTTACCATACTCCTTCATCGTTACACACATCTCTGAGTTCTAATACTTCAACTGTACCTCCTCACCGGAACCGCCAGGGTAAAGCCTTTATGCCATGGGTAGGAAAAAGCCATCAGCCACAAAATTGGAGTTTTATGGAGCAGATTCACAGATGTTGAAAAACAGGTGCCCTATACATTTAAAAAAAATTAAATTAAATTATTCTATCCTAATTTAATGATTGGAATTTTCTTTAATTATCAGGCTTACTGAATATTGTAAAATTCCTGTTAGATCGTAGATTGCTATTGTTAGATCACATCTAGCCCCAAACGCATAAGCTGTTAGCAAAGGAGGCCAATAATACATATCAAGCTCTACAACACTGTCCCTCACATGTAACCCTGTCTTGCATGTGGAGATGCAAGCATCCAAACATGTAGAGAAACTAAATGACGGAAAGACTTGAACCCAATACCTTTTCTAACTCTGATACCGTGTTAGATCACGACACTAGTTCCAAAAGCTTAAGCTGTTAAGAAAGGAGTCCAACAATAGTGCATGTCAAGCTCTCTAACAACTATATTCATAGCCTTAATGGCTGTATTCCCAGCTCTTGCTCTCACATGGGCGGCGGGTGTGTCCCATGTTGTGAGAGAGGGGTTTGTGGATATAACCTGAGAGGCTGAGGGTTGTTGTAGCTTTAGCAATATCCTATTAGATGTACTTAATGTGTTTTTTTATTTATTTTATTTATAATATATCAAATTTTGGATGATATGATTTGAGATAGACATTACAACTTGCATGGCTGTAACGTGCAAGTCACCGCCACATGTGGTTCACCCTATAGTAATTGAAACAATTATGGGCTGCATTTTGTGTTTTTACTTTCCTCTGTTCAAAATTTTCCACAATGGTTAGCATTTGAATTTACTTCTTTTTGCATTGCTCCCTTTTTGTTTACAAGAAACATTGCGACTATTGCAAATAATTTCAAAATGACAAATATTAATAAACATGTCTTTTTTGGCCATGCATCTATTTCTTTTAAAACCCTTCCCCTGCTCCCTTTTTTTTCTTTACTTGCCAAATATACCACCTTGTTTGGTTTAGTTTTCAAAAACTGTTTTCTATTTTTTTTTTCTCTTTTTGTTTGGTTTTCATTTTTTTATTTAAAAAGAAAAAAAAAAAAAAAAAACTTTTTGGATGCACTTAATCTAATTGCATCTAAAAAGTAAAGTATAGGCGAAGAAATCTAAAAAAGTTCACTAAAGATGAATAACAAAAATAAAAAAGCCAAACACAAATCAGTGTACTAAGATTTTTCACAGGGATAGTTTGCTTCTTTACAAATGTTATTTTTGTGAAGTGTTTCTTTCAAAAAATTTTATCCAAAAAGGAAGTTGCTACTATGATACAAAAGAAACATTTCCCCCAGTTGTGTGATGATTGTTATGTTGCGGGGATAAATGTTTATCGTCATTTCTGGTGATGCATTGCAGGTTTAAGAGGACAAAAGGTTGAGGCAATGAGAGATACAGGAGTGAAACGTTGGTGTACCAATCTTCCATCAATCCAAAAGCTCAATAGATTCCGTGTTTAAGGTTATTTTGGGCAATCATATCTCTGGACAATCATCCTTCCTCTCATCTTCCTTGCTTGTCCTGTGCTGTGTTTGTATCTTTTCTTTGTTGTTTTGTTGTGTTGCACTTGTATGATTTTTTTTTTCCCTTTTTTATTTTTTTTTTGTCTTTTAAAAAGTTTATTTTCTTCAAGAAACTACTAGACAAAGTTGATGTAAAACATCTGGTGAATTTACAGACATGAGATTTTTAGTGGCAATGAGCTCTAAACATGTATGTTGTCTTGGTGTTGTTCATGCACTCCTTAGCTTGCCCGACAGTTAGACCATGTTGTAGCTGGGTATTGGTGGGTCTCGGATGAGGCTGTATTGTTGCTCTTTGTTCGTCTCTGGTCTCTCTATCTCCTCGAATACTTTAGTAAGGTGATCTCATAAATTAGGTTGGTAAACCACATTTGAGATGTTATCTGGAGCAGAATTTCTTTTTCTCTTCCAGTGGGGTCATATTAAAGTGATTAATATCTCCGCCCTCCTCCACGAATCGCTTAAGGCCTTGTTTGGTTATGCAGAAACTGGAGAGACTTTTTCCTCTGTTTTCTCAAACCATCTTGTTAATATTTTCCTCTCTATTCTACAAGTGATCCAACGCAGAAAAGTGGGAAAGAATTTCACTGTCTGGGAAATGCCTCTTTGTATTTTATATATGCACGCTAGGGTTGTGTTTGAATCTTTTTTTCTTTTTCTTTTTTTAAGGAAATGTTTTGAATTTTGTGATCTATGAAAAAGATTTGTGCAAGAAACAAAAAGGAAGAGAAAAATGAAAGTTGGAACTTCTTCTTTTTTTTAATTTTTTATTTTTAACATATTTATAATTTAAACACAACATGAAAAAACATTTCGCATCATTATTTGAATTGGGTGTGCTATGGATGTATTGATTTTTATTTTGGAGTTATCATGTAAAAAATAGTCACATTATTTCATCTTACTTATTTTGAAATAAATAGGCAAGTACTGTAGACACCCCATTTTTGACCGTCCTCAAGACTTGGACGTCACCGCTTGAACACCCGGTGATCATCTTTATTTGTGTTCGTCTTGAGTTCCCGGAGGTCTCGACTACGCGCCTTGCCTCAGGACCTCTCGACTCGACTGTTTTGTGTTTGGTTTTGCACCAAACACTTGTGTTTTGCCTTGGAGGGGGCAGGGAATGGTTTGTGAGCCATCCCCACACATCACCGGCCATGGCTTGAGGCCATCGGCTGTGTTTTGCTTCCACCGGCCAAATGTTTGGCCGGCCGGCTATCTTTTTTTGGTCAATTGCATTTTTGGCCGGCCGACTACTGTGCATCTGCTTTTGCAGATATTTTTATGCAGCTGACATACACTTTCACGTGTATGGAGGGATTGCCCTCTTGTTAGCTTCCTTTGGAAGCTTTACAAGACTAATTGCCTATAAAAGAGAACCTCTTCTTTCTTGTTCAAGGGTTAGACAATTTGGACAATATTTTCAGAGCTTGAGCTTTAGGGTTAGGGTTTACATATACCCTCTATCTCTATATCTCTCTCTCTCTCTCTCTTGTGTTTAGTGTGTGTTTTAGCCTCATTTTTGTGCACAAACACCCACCATCACACCTTTTCTTAGTTGTTGAGGTACCAGAGGTCTTTCCTTGAAGCTTTTGGACTAGTTTGGAACCAAAAGAGCTGCTGGAACATTGTTTGTGAAGAGGGTTTACAAGGGTAAGACTTTTGTCCCTTTTTATCCCATTTTTGCAAAGCTTTTTAGCCTATCTTTCGTCTGTTTTTGAGCTTAGCATATAACATATAAAAGTCTTGTTTTTGTCTACTCTAAATAATTTGTTAAGGGTGTTTTAAGCTTTGGGGTTGTTTGACCCCTCTTAAGGCTTGCTTGGCCTTTGTTTTGTGCCATTTTGGGTGAGCTCCGGGACCATTGTGTTTGGGCCTCCTCAACGCTGAAATCTTGAGGGATTTCAGTGATGAGGATGGTGCCTTGAGGTCCTAGGAAGGAGAGGGCCACCCCCTCTCCTTGTTGTCCTTGAAAAGGGCTATTTTTGCCTCTTGAGGGAGCATCTAATTTAAGTGTGTGTTGACCATGCCTTGACTGATATTTATGCTTATTTTGCCATGAAATAGCATTGTGTTGAGTTGGTTTTGGTACACCATGCTTGCTTAGCATACATGCCTTGTAATGCCATGATTTGCCTCAATACATGCATAGCATTTAGACTACCATGCTCATGTGTTTTGGCTAAGCTTTGTGAAGCTTATATGCATATTTTGATGTGCTAAGGGACTGTTTTAGGTCATTTGAGTCATTCATGTCTTGCTTTGTATAGCTACCATGCAATCCCTCTTGAATGCCTTAAGCTTTGGCCTCTCTAGCATGCCATCCTTGCTTTGTTTCAGTGGTTTGGAATCACTTGGTATGTTATTTCAGACCTCATGATGCGCTTATATGCTTGCATTTTCCATCCATTTCATGCTTTGAAGTGTTGATGGCTTATGCTCCATGTTTGGTCATTGTGCATGCCCTTGAATTTAAGTCATTTAGATGCCATCTAAGTGGTCTTTAGGTTTTGTTTTAATATGCTAAAACTCCGTTTTTGGTCATTTAATTCATGCCATATTTGATTTTGCTAAGGGTGGTTCAATACCTCCTTAGCTTGCCTTGAGTTTTGGACCTCTAATTGCATGCTTATGCTTGTCTTGTTGGCTTGGTTTGGCACCATTTTAACATGATTTTCAGAGCTTATGTTGCATGTCATTAGTCCATGTTTTTGTGCTTACAAGTTGTCTTCATATGCTTAAGTGTTGGACCATATTTGCATGCACGCGTGTGTGTGTGTTGGACCTCACTTCCATAGTATTGGCCACTGATTTTGGCAAGCTTGCAAGCTACCCATGTTAGTTTAAGCCCACCCCTTTGCATGTTATTGTATGCCCACCTTGTATGTTGTTGCATATTTGTGTGTTGTTGCATGATTGGAGTTGCATGATTGAATGAAGTCACATGCTTGCTTGCATGCTGGGACACCCACATTGTGCCTTGCATACTTAATAGTTGCATTGTCTCATGCCCTATGTCTTGCATGACCATTGTATGCCTTGTATGCTTCTTAGCACTGTCCATATTGCATACTAGTCGACATGCTTAGGATTGCATTGCATTGGCATGCATGCTTCGCCTCTTGAATTGCTTGTGATAGAGGTTGAGTTCAATTTGCTTGATTATGTGCATTGCATTCCATATCAAAATGCATACATGATTTCTTGGGCCATCACGCATTGAAATGCGCGATTGATGGTCCGAGAATCGAAACCCATCCTCCTTTGAGTCATGAATATGATAAGCAGTGTGGTTGGTGCATACATTGCTTGAAATGCATTGCCATGCCAAGTTCTATCCTCTGCTGCTGTCAAACCAGTTTTTGCAGGAAGATTGGGCCGGCCGGCCATCTGAAGTGCCGACCGGCCATCCATAAG